CTAAACAAATTGAAAACACAAAGTCTTACAAATTACAAGGGGTGCTCGCCGTTTGGCGGTTTGGTTGCGGCCAAATTAGTCTCAAATCCGCTATCTGTCTAAAACTAGGCGGATTGGAAAAAATCAATCTGCAACCGTCCGCTCGTCATCACGCATCCGTCCAAAATGCGGCGGATCGATTTGGTTAGGCGGATTGGTATATCTGCTGCTATCTCCTAACTTGATGTATAAGGCCCCATTTGTTTTCAGAAGTAGAATAGAGAGGATTGATAGTGAAGGGATTAATAATGAAGGGACTGTTAGTAACGGGATTGTTGGTGAGAGAATTAAGAAAAATGTGTTTGTTTGATAACCAGTGAACTAATAATAGTTCATGTTTGTTTTGAGAGATAGGAATGTGATTAACCATATAAAATTACACAAATACCCTTGTTGTATTAGTATTAAATTTAAGTTTATTCCAACTAATAAATGCATTACCCAATTAAACTATTCAAAAATTATAATTAGAATCCTATAATCAAAAATAATAAAAAAATTCGACTATTAATCTATTTATTATTATTATTATTATTAAAGAAACCAACCAATAGTTTCTCCAAAACCAGTCCATGGTTTTGAAAAAGGTTCATCCCATTAGTGTGGACTTGGCCTTGTTTTGCAAATATCCTGCTCTCCCACTCTAGTTCTTTTTCTACCTCACATGTCTCTGTCTTGCTCAAGCTTTGCCAATGATGACCACAAGTTCAAGCTGATTGGAGCTCTATCAGCGACGATCTCAACCTTCATATTCGTCAACAACGATGTTGACCTTCAAATTCTAGGTGAGGCGAACTCGATGAAGACCAAAGTGTTGGATCAATCTTCCCTCTTGGTGATCTTGTTGTGATTTTGTTGATTTTTTAATTATTATTTTGTTGATTTTGAGAACTTGTTGGATGATATTTGTAATCTATTTTGAAAAGTTTCTTTTGGATTGAAATTTTGATATCATTCAATTTAGGCGCTAAATCAGAATTTTTTTAGTGCTTTAATTTTGGGTTTATGTAAAGACATGGAAAAATATGAAAAAAAATAAAAATAAATCATAATTCATAAATTGGACGGGTAATGTGAAAGTATTCCTGCTAAAAAATAAATTTGTGTGTTTTATGAAATTTTTTAATCGTTAAAATTATAATTTGTTGTAGTGAAAGAGAGAGATATGAGAGGAAAATTGATAAACACAAAAAAAAAAAAGAGAGAAAAAATTAGTAGAGTATTTTTTTTTCATTACTGCCCAATTTGTCAAAATTTTCCATCCAAAATTAGGGACAAAATAATTTCATCAGTAAAAGGTCTCAAAATATTAAAAATTATTAGTAATGAAAATATATTTCTCACCAAATAATCTTAAAATATTTAAAATCAAGTTTTTTTAAAAACAAAACGTAAAATTATTGGTGACGAAAATATATTCCTCACTAATAATTTTATAATTAGTAACAAATTTTTTTCTCACCAAAAGTCTCAAAATTTTGGCGCCACCAAAAAAATTTGGCGGAAAAGCCTTCAATGACGAAACTTAATTTTTTCTCACCTAAAAAGAAGTATTTATTGACGCAAATAAATTTCATCACCTATTATTTTTATTTTTTTATTATATGTGACAAAATTTTATAATTCGTCACAAATTGTTCTTATTTAGTGACGAAATTTATTTTCTTCACTACTTTTCGTCACCATAGGTTACTTTTGTTATAGTGAAAACAGTGTAACTAAGCATATGAGTAATGAATTTTTGAATACTACAACTGTTAGAATACTCACTGGATTCAAGAATCCCCTCACAAAAGTTGCATGGGCATGTTGTAACAGCCTATTAGGAATTAAAAATGTAGGCGTAAAGTTGAGGAGGCCGACGCTGCTGCTGCTCCGACGCTGCTCCTCCGCCGCTCGACGTCAATCGATCGAGAGAGAGCTGACTTGTGCATTAGAGACCAAAGAATTGTTTGCCTAATGAATAGTACATATAAAGAGAAACATTA